GCATAGCCTATGCTACTAATGCACAAAAGGTGTGGCTAGATCTGCAGGAGAGATTTGACAAAGTAAATGACACTCGATGTTACAATTTACACAAGGAAACTGCCACTTTGTGTCAAGGTACATCCTCTATCTCTGTTTATTACTCAAAACTTAAGGATCTCTGGGATGAATCTGAATCTATAATACCTACACCTGGTTGTGATTGTGTAAAGACAAGGGAGTTTATTGTGCATCTACGAAAACAAAAGGTATATCAGTTTTTAATGGGCTTGAATGACTCCTACTCACAAGCTCGGAGCCAAATTCTCATGATGAAGCCTTTGCCTACAGTAAATCAGGCTTATGCTATGCTTATGAGTGATGAAAGTCAACGAACTGTAGCTGCATCTGCTAGTATATTAGGTCCCCCTCCTATTATGAACCCTAATACCTATGATTCCACAGCACTTTATAGTGCTAAGTCTAATTCTAGTTCAAGACCTAAAAGGCACTACAATGTTCAGTGTGACTTCTGCAAAATGAAAGGTCATAGTAAGGAGAATTGCTACAAAATCATAGGCTATCCAACTGATTTTAAGTCTAAGAGGAAAGGGGGAGCTAGTGCACACAATGTCATGGTAGAACCTGGTTACTCTATGCCTTTTTATGCTGAAAATACTTCTCAGGGTACTCCTTTGCAATCATTGCCTACAAATTACAGTCATTATCAGCCTATGAGTCAAGGTGGTGGAAACTATCAGGGACAAGGAAGTGCTAGTGCTCAAGTTCAGGGTAGTTCTTCTATTCCACAAGCCAGCAATGTTACAAACTCCCAATCCACAGCTCAGGGAGGTGCTTTTCCATTCACCAAGGAACAATATGAGCAAATTATGCAGATCCTCAACAACAATCACAATCACACTTCTGCTTCCACTTCTCAGGCAAATGTAGCAGGTACTCACATTGCTCTCTTGGCTTCATCACCTAGTCTGCAGGAATGGATCATTGATACTGGTGCCACAAACCATATGGTTTCAGACATTAACATGCTCACTAAAACATCCTTAACTGCTCCTAGTGAGCCAAGACAGGTGCTACTACCTAATGGAGATTTTACTCAAGTCACACATATTGGAGACAGTAATATTTCTGACAACAATGTTATTAAAGAAGTTTTCTATGTGCCTCAGTTCAAATTCAACCTGTTGTCTGTTTCAAAGGTGACAAGAGACCTAAAATGCTTTGCCTCCTTTTATCCTGATTTCTGTGTATTCCAGGATCTCTTCAGTGGCAGGGTGAGGGAGATTGGTAGAGAGAGAGATGGCCTATATTTTCTGCAGAAACATGGTGCAAAGAGACTCACTGCCATCTCACTGGCTGCAGCTGGAGTTAAAACACACAGGAGGAACTCTACTATAGATGTTAGCTTGTGGCACAAAAGATTAGGTCATGTGTCTAGTTCAGTCCTTAATAAATTGTTCCCTGCAAAATTAGCAACTATTACTGATATCCTCAATAAATGCACTGTGTGTCCATGTGCTAAGCAGACCAGACTGCCCTTTCCTAATAGTTGCATTAAAAGTACTGCTGCTTTTGATCTTATTCATGTTGATGTGTGGGGTCCTTACAAACAGGCAACAGTTGATGGTCATAGGTATTTTCTAACTGTAGTGGATGATTTCACTAGAATGACCTGGTTATTTCTGCTAAGGCTAAAGTCTGATGTGTGTGTGGTATTGACTCAGTTTATTGTGTTTATTCAAACTCAATTCAACAAAGTTCTCAAGACAGTCAGATCTGATAATGGTTCTGAGTTTGTAAACTCTACCTGTCTTGCTCTATTTCAAAAATATGGCATTGTTCATCAGAAGACTTGTGCATACACTCCTCAGCAAAATGGAGTTGCTGAAAGGAAGCACAGACATATCCTGGAGGTAACTAGAGCCTTGAGATTTCAAGCACAGATTCCTATCAAGTATTGGGGTCACTGTGTTATTGCAGCTACCTATATTATCAACAGAATGCCAAGTTCTGTCCTAAATGGCTTATCCCCTTTTGAGTTGCTATATGGACAGGAACCTAACTTGGAGCATTTGAGAGTCCTTGGTTGTTTGTGTTATGCCAAACAAGTGCAAGAGACAGACAAGCTGCTTCCCAGGGCCAACCCTTCAGTCCTCATGGGTTTCTCTGACACTCAAAAGGGCTATCTGCTGCTGGATCTTTCTACCAATTGCTTCTTCATCAACAGGGATGTTTCCTTTAGAGAGGATACTTTTCCTTTTAAGGAGCTTCATCCTTCTCCACCTGTATTTCTGCCTTCTGAATCTCCTACTTATGATGCAGACTACTTCTCCACATCACATGAACCCCATAGCTTACACGAGGGTCCTTCTTCTTCACTCAATCAGAGTCCTGCAAGTGATACCTCAAGCCAGGAGACATCTGAAGGAGTATCATCTTTGCCACCTTCAGTTGATCACCACTCTACTGGGCTGAGAAGATCTTTGAGGACTAAGCAGGCTCCACTCTGGCTGAAAGATTTTGTGACATGTCCTAGTCACAAGACTGTCCCTTATTCTATTGCTAACAACATTTCATATGATGGTTTGTCGCCCAAGTACCAGTGCTACCTCACTGCTTTTTCTTCCATAGTAGAGCCTACCACATTTGAGGATGCTGTCAAGGACCCTAGGTGGGTTGAAGCAATGCAAGCTGAGATCACTGCATTGGAGTCCAACCACACTTGGGATGTGGTTCCCTTACCTCCTGACAAAGTCCCCATTGGTTGCAAATGGATATATAAGGTGAAGTATAAAGCCACAGGAGAGGTGGAAAGATTCAAGGCTAGGCTTGTAGCAAAGGGGTATAGCCAACTAGAGGGTATTGACTACCAGGAAACCTTCAGTCCTGTGGTCAAAATGGTTACTGTTAGGACAGTCTTAGCTGTGGCTGCCTCTGAGCATTGGCATATCCATCAAATGGATGTGTACAATGCATTTCTTCAAGGAGATCTACATGATGAAATTTATATGACTCTTCCTCAAGGCTTTCAGAGTCAGGGGGAGAACAGACCAGCATGCAGACTTCTGAAATCCTTGTATGGGCTTAAACAGGCACCAAGACAGTGGATGCCAAACTCTCAGAAGCACTACTAAAGTTTGGATTCTCACAGAGTCAACATGACCACTCCTTGTTCACCAAAGGAACAGGTGAACACACCATAGTCATTTTGGTGTATGTAGATGATATGCTACTTGCTGGACCTAATCTGATGAAACTAGAAGAAGTCAAGACCAGTCTACAGCAAGCTTTTAAAATGAAAGACCTAGGTGAACTGAAGTATTTCCTTGGCATTGAGTTTGCTAGGTCACAACAAGGCATTCTAATGCACCAAAGGAAATATAGCTTGGAACTAATCTCTGAGCTTGGGCTGGGGGCTGCCAAACCAGTTGCTACTCCTATTGAAATCAACACTAGGTTGACAACCAAAGACTATGATGATCATACAGGCTTGCACAGCACAACAACTGATGATCTGTTATCTGATCCCACCAGGTATCAAAGATTATTAGGAAAGCTTCTTTATTTGACTGTCACAAGACCAGACATAGCCTTCAGTGTTCAGACACTGAGCCAGTTCATGCAGAAGCCCAAAAGATCTCATATGGAGGTAGCACAGAGAGTAGTCAGATATGTGAAGAATCAGCCTGGACAAGGCATATTATTGTCTAGCAAGAAGAAGAATGTAGTTACAGCCTATTGTGATGCTGACTGGGCAGCATGTCCTCTCACTAGAAAGTCTGTAACTGGTTTTTTCATTGTGTATGGTGACTCACTAATATCCTGGAAGTCTAAGAAGCAGAGCACTATCTCTAGGAGCTCTGCAGAATCAAAATACAGGAGTATTGCATCAACTGTGGCAGAGATAGTTTGGATACTAGGGCTATTCAAAGATGTTGGAATTCCTGTGGCTCTCCCTGTAACCATTCACACTGATAGCAAAGCTGCAATTCAGATAGCTGCAAATCCAGTATTCCATGAACGTACCAAACATATCGAGATTGATTGCCATTTTATAAGAGAGAAAATACAAAGTGGGCTGGTGAAGACTGAGTATGTGGCCACAAAGGAGCAACTTGCAGATGTTTTAACAAAAGGGTTGACTAGAGTGCAACATGAATACTTAATGTCCAAGCTAGGTGTTCTTGACATTTTTGTATCACCTAGCTTGAGGGGGAGTGTTGAGGAAAGAGGAGTGACTTAAAGCTTGAGGGGTATTTTAGTCTATTTACACTTAGCTAGATTAATTAAGTAGGTAGGTGATTAACTCACGTGTAAATATATACACATACTATTGTACATCTCTTTCAGAATGAATGAGAAGCAGTTACTATTTTTCATTCCTTCTCTGTTCTTCTCTCTACTCTCATTTCTTCTCTTCTTCTCTTCATTAGCCTAAGCTCGTGCATGGCTGCTCTCCCATAAAGTTTAGCACATGCGTGATACATGTTTGATACATGTGTCGCAGAAGACTTTTTTGAACTCGATTTAATTACGAATTTTGATACAAAACCAGTCCAAATCACCTCCAATCTTCCTCAAATTTTGTATATTGACTTATCTATATATTTTCAATGAATTTCAACTATACCCATTGAAAAAGTTCCTTTTTTGTTTAGATTTTTAGAATATTGTATAGATTTTTGTATTTCATCACCTTATTTGCTACCCCGTCCATGAAATTTCCTTTCCGTCTTGTATCTAATGTTGCTAATCACGCTTAAAAATATGGAAGGTGATTTTTGCATGTGATTCTTTGAGAGAAAGAACCCTATTATTTGGTTTTTCAATTTTTGTTGGCTAGTTTTGGTAAGTCTATGACTAATGGCTAGAGGTTGGTAAGTTGAGATTTATTTGGGACATTTATGGAAGTTTCCCTATAAAAATCAACAGATTTCTTGCTTGAACTTTCAGGTCATTTGGATAGTGAGCCCGTGGCCTTATCCATATATAACACCTACTATTTCAAAAACAACACATTTAATCCACGACCTGAGAGTTCTTTCTAACAAGAGCACAGAGAGGTCTCTCTCTCTCGTATCACAATGAATAGCTGTTCCCAATGTGCGAGGTTTACCGCATATCCGCTCGACACAGGCCAACGACGTCAATTCATTAACGTCTTCAGTTCAATAGCGTCTAGGACTGGGTATAAATGTAGAAATATGAGAATTAGCATGAGAGATAGGAGCAAAAATCGAAAGCCCTTACAAAAGGGGAGAAACCTCAGTATAGAAGCAATTCAAGCTGTTCAGGCACTGAAGCGAGCCAACAAAAACGATGAATCCACGCTGGAGCAGGTGTTTGATAGCAAGGTCAGGCGTTTGCTCAAGAATGATTTGATTGCCGTTCTTCGCGAACTCATCCGCCAGAACCAATGCCTCTTAGCTCTTAAGGTCAGTCGTTTCAATGACTCAATCAACAAATTCTTTATTTTCGAATTTTTAGTTTGTACAGAGCTGTAATTGTGGCTCCTTGGAATTTGCATTTCCTTCAAATAAACTTCTAATCAAAGAACAAAAAAAAAAAAAACCCTAATTGCTACATCCACTGTAGTTCTCATTTATCTCCTTCAATATGAAAGGGCATCAGTATATCTCCCAATGAAGCTTTAGTGTTAAAAATGGTAAAAGGAGTGGTAAAAAAAAACTAAGCAAACAGTTGGGGTTATACATAAAAAAGGTTACTTTGAAGAGTCCTGACGGCTCAAGGCAGAAAGACAGAATGGAACTGAACAACTTGGGGTTTCCAGTCAATTATGAGGATAATTCTGGAGAGAAAAACTGAGGAAGATGTTTAAAAATTTTGAGCTGGAATAATAAGGGCCTATAATTCCAGGAAGTATAGATTTTTCAGGATGCTTGCCCAGAAATGGAAGGCAGACTTTTTTTCTTTCAGGACACTAAAGTCCAGTTATTGAATCTGGGTCAACACTTAATAGATAGATTGATTAGGCAAAATAGGAGATGTGAAACAAGAAGAAGAAAGAGACCTCTTTTTGGGTTGCCACTATGCGGTAGCGGATTCAACTCTTGGTCAACGTGGTCATCCGAATCCAGTATTTTCAGCACAAAGCGTAGATATATATGTGAAAACTACTACAGTTTCAACTAATATTTGATATGGACCCATAATTGAGTTCAGCACTAAGAACTTTAAAGATCTGCCTCTGACTGTTGACACTATGCATAAACGTAGTTCCACGTATGGGAGTATAAGGCTGCGAAGAAATTAGTTATGTAATTGTTCTTTATGCCTAACAATGTTAGTGGTTATCCTATGATTGAATACAAAATATGCCGCAATATCCTTTTGAATGTTGGAATATTCTATTCTCCTATAGTGATGCAATGAATCTGATGATTCTGTAATGTTCCCTGTCAAGATGGAGCATCAGATTTTTTCAATTTTTTGTTTATGAAAATGTTGTCCGGGCCAGCTTGTGCACACCTCGATCATTCCATAGGGTACCTACTGCCTCCTTCCACCACAGGTACCAGGTAACTCTGCCCACTAAGGCTTAAACAAATGAGAAGAAATCACCTAGTGTTTTTCACTTTCGTTGGAATATGAACCTGAGACTTCATGGTTTTCATCCCACCTTATCGACCACCGGGCAAAAAGTATATCACAAAGCTCTTTCGATCACTTTAATTATAGGGGCTCTTTCATTTTTTTCATCCCACCTTGAATTGGTTAACAGCATATAAAGGAACTCCTTATATAGGATTTTTAATGGTATATTCGACATTATAATCTACAGAATATGAACATTCTACATAATATTCGATGGGTTCGACAATATTCTCCAACTTATGTTCAATAAAGGGACATGCTGTGAATTTGTACACATTTAACTAATAACTCCAGTAATTCACTTAACTTTCAGGAAGATACATACTTGGTTATACTTCTTCATCTTTAAGTTTAATTCCATTTGCATTTTCTCAATTTCTACTTGTTGTTTAGGTTATTTCTGTTTGTAGAGTGCAGCTGTGGTGATGTACTGGAGTTCCTCTAGAGGTTTTTGGGTTTTCTTAGAGTGGGAGAGGGACCGGGATTCAAAAAATGTGAGGAAGCATTCTTTAACTAATGATGCAGTCATCTTATTCCTCCAAGATGGCCCGAGCTCCTTTATCCTATGTCTTTAGTTAGACGTATGTGATACTAGAGGGTGATCCTTCTCGTAGCAAATTAGAGGGGAGCTTAGCATGATCTTTCTTTTCATTTTTTTCCTGCCTTTTGTACTTTCTAGTTCAGCTACCCTTTTTCTTCTCTTTTTTTTCTTTTTTCCCCAGGTTGTGCTTTGATTGGTTGTTTCCAATTCAGTTTTATGATAGACGAGATTGTAGAAAAAATTGGACATTGTAATGACAAAGTCTTGGTGATGTTTAGTTGTAGTTGGAACTTTTACATCACATTTGCTTTGTACTTCTGAATTCATCACTTTTTTCTTGATTACCACAATGTTGGCAGCTCCTAATTATTACCATACCCTGATATAGGTTTTTGAGGAAGTTCAGACGGAGATATCGTATAGGCCACAACTCAAACTGTATGCTGAAATGGTGTCCTGTTTGGGAAGCAACGGATTGCTTGAAGAGATCAAGTATCTTATCATGGCATTGAAAATGGATAGTAGTTTACCACCTGACATTGAGGGCTTTTATGCATTGTTGGAAAGCTTATTGAAATTTAATCTCTCTAGTCTTGCGCTGGAGGTCTTTTACTTGATGAAGTTGAGAGGATGTGATCCCGATAAGTTGACCTTTAAACTATTAATAAACGGATTGGAATCGAACGAAGAAACGGATCTTTCAGCTTTTGTAAGGCAGGAAGCAGAGAAGTATTATGGCCACTCCCTTAATTTCCTAGATGAGACTGAAGATGACATACCTAGCTTAAAGCAAATGTATTGAACTATATGCAACAACAACAACAACAACCTAGTGAAATCCCATATGTTGGGTCTCGGGAGGGTAGTGTGTACGCAGATCTTACCCCTACCCTGAAGGAGTAGAGAGGTTGTTTCCGATAGAGCCTCGGCTGTATTGAACTATATAATCAGTGGTTAATATATATGAGATATAAGTTTGTTGCATGTGTGGAACACCTATATGTGGATCCCTAATTGTTGATGTTTTGTGTTGGTTACAGTGACTCTACTGGGACTTCATAAGAGAGGATGTTCGCTGATCTACATTTTCACCTTTTGAAATTAAGAAAGTTCAGTTATTAGAGCTTTTTTTTCATATTTGCAGAAATACAATTTTGCGATAGTTTTATTAATTTTTGTAGTAAGGTATTTTGAATACAATTATCACTCCCAAGGGATGTGGTGGAACAAAGATCTCTTCACCTCTAATCAGAAATTGTGGCTTTGAGAATAGAGAAATTTATGGTAGGAAGCGCTCTCCCTTTAATATGCTCTACACTGTGCGAATTCAAGTTAGTCGATCAAATAGTATTGGATATTGAATGCTTAAACCAAAAAAAATCATATATTGTAAAAATACTTACGATGACTAAAATAATGCAATAACCACAAAATAAATAGAAGAAAAAACAAAACAAGAACAAACGAGATATAAAGAGTAGTACAATATCGGGCACGAAATTAATTTTGTAACATTTATGGACTTTTGCTTCATATATAAGGATTATAATTGGGTAAGAATTGTTACGTGATAGATAGTATAGAGAAATTCATTCATGAATAGTAATAATATTTGATTTATTATATTTTAAGCGCAGTACTAGAATGAGTTGGAGTAGCTAATTAAAAATAATTGTTGAGCCGAACTCAAGCCCCACCACCACCCATAAGAAGATACAAGCTTTGCCTTGAAAATAAACTATAATGTACTCATAGAATGCCCCACAATTAACCGGAGCATATAAGAAATAATATTTGTTTTGGTCAAATGTCTCCTACAAGCATCTCGTTCGGGATACAGAAGCTCCATTAAGCTCCCATGATATTTAAAAATCACATAGAAGACGCTCAACTTTTGCAAACTAAGAAGACAATGGTGCTCAAGGTTATATTTGAAGGATAAAGTTAAACTAACTCCTAAAAATAAGAGATAATTTTGTCCAGAACCTCTAGTGTCTACATGCTAATGTAATTTTCTTTTTAAATAAAAAAGCCAAATAATGAACACAAGAAAATAATAAAGTTTTTAAATGGTAATTATATTTCCAAGTTTATCAAATATGTCATTCAATTATAAAAGGTAGAAAGATTGATTAACATTTTATGTGGCAACTTCGTGCTTTTAACAGTAGGATAGATTTATGACCAAATAAAAAAGTAGGATAGATTACCAAACTTCTAATATTTGTACGAATTACCAATACTCCTAGTTTTTATTACACTTTCTGTTCCTTTTGTTTCACTTTCTTACAAGGATATTTGCTATTTGCTGATAACGTAATATTGATTGACGAGAAGCGAGGCAATATTAATGCTAGGTTGGAAGTTTGGAGACAGACGTTGGAGTCTAAAGAAGTTGAGTAGGTCGAAAATATAATACTTGGATTGCAAGTTCAGAGATAGGTGCATGAAGCAGAAGTGGAAGTGAAGATTGATACTCAAATCATCCCCAAAAGAGATAGTTTCAAGTAACTTTGGGTCTGTAATCTAAGGCAACGGGAGATTGACGAGGATGCTACTCATCATATTGGAGCGGAGTAGATAAAATGAAGGCTCGCTTCTGGGGTTTTGTGTCAAAAGAATATGCCACCAAGACTTAAGGGCAAGTTCTACATAGTGTTAGACCGACTATGTTGTGTGGGGCAGAGTGTGTTAGAAAAATTATTTTAATATCTCAAAAAGAATATTTAAATGTCTAGGTTCATTCTCTTAATATAATATTAATGGGTCATTATTATATCAATTATTTTTTGTTAGTAACTGATGGTATAATTTTCAATTACAAATGTGAAAACATTAAAACTGATGATTGAAGTCAATAACTATGATTTTAACATTTTGCAATTTGATAGCTTTCAATGATTTTAACGTTTTGGCATCTGTAGATTTAAACGACTTTAACGTTGGCATTAAGCCTTAATGGCTTTAGCTTTCATCAGATGTCTATATTAGTTTTGAACACTCTCTCTCTCTCTCTCTCTATATATATATATATATATATATATATATATATATATATATATATATATATATATATTGTAATTATTTTGAGGTGTGAAGAAAAACGTAAAAACTTTCCTTCTAATTTTCTTCTATTGTGCTGGATTTATTTTGATTAATCTTTGTTGTTTCTACTTCTAGTTATACTAGAAGAGCTTGTTGAATTTTGGGGGATACGCCTAGTTTTATTTATCACGGTGTGGGCAAAATATCCTTAAGGACAGTGTCCTTGACACGCCTCAAGCAAAATCTTTTATTATCCATAATCATCTAATATTTTTCCAACAATCTTAAGGATATTTCCACGATGTTATGGTCCGAACAGAAGTTACAGAATATAAGTCAAGGATATTTCTATACTATTCCTATAGAGAATATTATTTCTGGAATCTCGAGAGTAATAAATGATAGATGAACAAATATTATTCTATTGATATCATATATTGTTGTTTTGCTGGTTATACTTTGGCATGCACTCGTGGCAAGTTGTTATTTCAATTTCGTACATTATCGCATTATGAAGATCAAAGCACCACAAAATTAAAGGTACATGGAAAGGAGAATGCGCACGGCCAGAATCAATCTTGCATCTTCTACCGAAATATGACCCCGCTTGACCACTGAACTGACACTCGTTGTTGAAGTTATTGTTCTAATTCTGAAAATAGAACCTACACTTTAAGTTTTCACAATGGTCTTATGGAGAATACCACTCTTTATTGAAATTATTTTTGTGAGAAACAGAATATTAATCAAGTTGTTCCAATTTTGTGCAATATCGCATTATGACGGATAAATTGCACCACAAAATTAAGGTATACTTTTTATAGTGTTTAAATGCGCCTAAGCCTACAAAAATGTAGACTTTTATTGTTATCTATTTTTGAAAATCTTGAAAGCTTTAAGATAGTCGGTTTAAATTTATTCTTCAATTTCAACAAATTTGAGGAATATTCAGGTACGTGACCCAGTCGCCTCCTGGAGTGTAGGAAAAATCCGTTTATCAAGAATGAGTATACTCTGACACCTTGAATGCTATATGGGTTTCCAAATACATGAAGTTGAATTACACCCCTAACGTTAACTGACACAAGGAACCTATGCCACAAGCCCATGAGGATGAAAAGAAGTTGAACACTTATGAGATTATCATATTTCAAACAGCTTAATCCTTCCTGATAATTGACCATATACGAGATAACTAAAGATACAACAACTTGTCTTCCAAATCAATATGCTCATGATATGTGCAAAAATCTCAAAGCATCTAATCTCAACCTTTCACGAGTAAAACCACATAGCTAGGACATCTGAATGTTGGGACAAAATCATGTATTGGTTAGAGGGGTTCTAATGGTTAACATGATGCTCCGGGGAGAAAGACAAATGACACTCCTATCCACCCAGGGAGGTGGAATACCAAGGGTAGCAAAACTCCCCTCACATGACAATGACATAGTCAATTATTCTAGAAGTCGAGTGAGCAGAAGGCCACGTAACCCATCCAATCCAACCCATTTAAGACGTTTTGAAAAGGGGCCGCACTTTGGCTTGAAATCATGGCAATATAATCTTGAACTTAGGGGAAATCATTACTTTTGGAACCCATGCGACAAGCCCATGTAGCCCTACAAAATTATTAACAATGGCGAGAAAGTAATTAAAACCCATTACGAGTTGGTGTAGAACAAGGCCTCAAAGTGTCCACATGAATAAGTTTGAAAGAAGGAGACGTCTTAATGCATTTATCGGGGAAAAGTAACCTAGGTTATCTAGTCACAGGAACAAGCAGAGCAGGTAAATGGTTGTTAGAAGAACATCTACAAGGAATACCAACAATATTTATTTATTCTAACAAAAGGAATATATCTCCCTCCTTGATGCTATAAGACTTCCTCTTTGATGCCATAAAACATAAAACAAGTTTTACAATGAGACCTATCAGATGAAATAGATAGTAGGGCAGCAAAACTATAGAGCACCATTTGGAACCAACAAGCTTAAACTGAGTTGAAGACATTAGAAGTCTATAGTAAAGGGGAATTTACCCACTTCCAGTGTCTTTTTTTTTGAAAAGGGGGCTTGTAGAATACATAAAAGTGAGGTGAATTGAATCGAATCATATAGTTGGATAGCTAGTCGAGAAAATGAGATAAGATCGTAGTGAAAAATATGGAGAAACGACACATGATGCAAGGTAAATGAAAAGAAAGTGAGAAAGCCTATGGAAGTAACCTTTCATTGTAAGCACTAGGAAGGGTGGTAATATAAGGGATTACGAGAAACTAAATTTTTGAAAGAAGATCTCTGTATGCAGTCACGTGATGTATAGCTCCAGAATTCAAAAATCCAATTATGTTTATCAACTCTACTTCATAATGAAGCACTACAACACACTTCTACACAACCAGTTATTACAAGCCGCATTGGGAGATGCCATAAGACTTGACCGAGAGAAAGGCTTTGACATATGAATGTGTTACTAGGTGTATTTCTCCTTGGTCAACCCAAAACCAGAAGGCGAGAGTTAGACTGATAAGCAGACCGTTGGACTAGCACATGTGTAGATAATCCATTATCGAAAGGAGATCATTCAATCTCAGCAATTTCGGCATGCTATCAACCCTTGATGAACTTGAAGTGAGGTGGGAACCCAATGAGATAGTATAAATAATTCAGAGAGACTTTATGCACACGATGACCATTTCGATTGACATGCACTCATGTGATAGTGTTAAGTTATGCTTCTTATTGTTACTAGATATTGAGAAGCTTCATGATGATACTCGCAAGAGAGTAGAGTGATTGTTCAACACCATATAAGCCATATACACAAGTGAGTAAAAGAGTGACTCGAGAAGGATCGCAACACTAGGATGCTTTACATGGAACTTGACACCACATGGGTAAACTTTACGACGGTGCATGCATAGGCACAAAATGAGCAGACGTTGTCCATAAAAAGATTTTGTAACAAATTCATCGGACGTAGCCCCCTGTTGAGAATTTAGGAAAGAAAGTGGGAAGTATAATCTAGAATTATAACTCCATTCAGGGACGTATTTGTAGAACTTAATTCCACAA